GTAGAGTTGCACCTGCATTGAAGGATGAGATGGAGAAACAGATTAAAGAAATGTTGGGCTATGGGATTACCAGACACAGCAACAATGCTTTTTCTTCCCCCATGATATTGGTTCAGAAGAAAGACAAGACCTGGAGGACAGTGTTTGATTACAGGCATTTGAATGCAATAACTGTGAAGAGCAAATTTCCCATCCCATTTATTGGTGAATTGCTTGATGAATTGGCTGGTTCTTGTTGGTTTTCTAAGTTGGACCTTAGAGCTGGTTATCACCAAATCAGGTTAGCACAAGGAGAAGAGCATAAGACTGTTGTCCAAACTCACATGGGACATTTTGAGTTCCTTGTTCTGTCTGGTGGCCCCAATACTTTCCAATTTTCCATGAATGATACCTTGTCTCCCTGTCTTAGAAATTATGTTGTTGTGTTTTTTGATGACATATTGGTTTTCAGTGCCACTTATGCTCTACACTCGGAACATCTAGCACAAGTTCTGAAATTTCTACTTTAGCATCAATGGAAGAAAAAATTCACACAACTTTGATAACATCTTTGGGTGGATGGGCTTCCAGCTCACTGGCAAGAGCGCGACCGTGCCTCTTGGCGGACCAGAATTTGAATTCGGTGTGCGGAATATTATTTCATGGATTAAAACTCATTGTCTGAAACCCTCCCTCTCTTAACTAAAATGTCGTGAGGCTCCCCTCTCTCTTGTTGTTCTAGATTTTTCTGTAACATCTTTTCTATCAGAGCACGCCTAGAAGGTATAGCGGGAAGGCTTGCTATGACGTTGTCTCGTACACCATGGGAAACCTTTGAAAAGAACAAAATCGTAGAGTATTTCGACATGTGTTTGCCTCACACCTGGATATCACAAATCTTGTTTGCAAGACCATCTGATTGACGAAGTTGTTTTTCACGAAATGCAAACATTTTATTCTGTTTTATTTTTGCTCCTTAGGGTATAGTGCAAAATCTCTTATGCACTTTATACATTGCTTAGCAATTATACTTGTTCCTATAGCAAAAAAATATCACTTGAATTTCACCACAACTAGTCATCAAAGGGATATTTTTTTATTCCCTAGAGGAAGTCTCTTAGCTTTTTATTATGAGCACAAAGAGAGCAACCTTTTTTCTAGCATGGAGAAAGAGAGCAACCATGTATAACGGACTCTGCATCTATTTAAAAGATAACTCTAGTATATGTGGATTCTTTACCCTGCTTTAGTCCGAACCAAAAAGATAAAGCTCCAACTCCTTTATCTTAAAGCTATCTTTTGATTCTAAAACATCGATGGGCTAGTGCTTATCATACATATGGGATAGACTATTGACTTAATGGAAAAGCCTATTCTTGTAGACAATAACAAGATTAGACCACAACGGGAGAACTATAAGCTATAGCGACCTCTTGCCTCAAGCGTATCGCCAACTGACCGGACTATTATCGAAGTTATTTGCTCACTGTAGTTTGCTCGTTGTATGTTCGCTCTTGCTCCGGTTTATCCCTTTTTTGTTTTTTTATCTTTTTTACCAATATTCTTTGGATTTTCTTTATTCTTTGATATAACTTCGGTTTTCTTTATTTATTTTTCTCCATTTCACCTGGTTTTTTATTTGTTTTTTCACTAGTTTTTTATTTTCTATGTTTTTTCTTTGCTTTCTTTTTTCTTTCTTCCATTTTCATTGATTTTCTAACCTTAATTTTCGTTGACTTTTTTTATTTATCGCTCTTTTTCACCGGTTTTCTTCTTTTCAACGTGTTTTTATGGTTTTCACCGGTTTTTCTATTCATTCTCATTTATTTTCTTTTTTCTTCATCTTTTTTTCTTTCTTGGTATGCTATGGTTTTTTCTTTGTTTCTTTATCAATTTTCACTGTTTACCATTCTTTTTACACTTGTTTCTTTGGTTTTCTTATTCGTTTTCCTTTTCCCTTGGTTGCCTTTTCAATTTTTATTGTTTTTTGGTTTTCTTTGTTTATTTTGATTTTCATTCTACATTTTTTGTATACATCAAGAACATTTTTCTAGTACACGTTTAACATTTTTAATACATGTGCAACATTTTTTGTTGATACAGATTTTTAACATTTTTCAAATGCCTGATTAACATTGGTCAAATACAGGATTATTATTTTTTACTACATGGTCAATATTTTTTGAACATTTTTTAATGCTTTGTTAACATTTTCTACGTATAAAAGATTAAAATTATTTTTGATACGTGGTCAACATTTTTCCTACACACATTAAAAAAATCAAATGCTTAACTAAACTTTTTCCAATACTTGTTATTTTTTTTAATGCTTGATTAATATTTTCTAAATACATGAACAACTTTTTTCACACATATGTTTTTGTGTACATTTTTTATATACATGAGATACATTTTCTTTATACACATTTGGCATATTTCAAAATGCTTGATTAAGATTTTCTGAATACGTGATCAACATTTTTTCTACACATTTTAACAATTTTGGATGCTTGATTAACACTTTTGAAATACAAAATTGACATTTTTAATGCTTTATTAAAATTAAAAAAACTTGTTTGACATTTTTTTTAGATTCTTGATTAACATTTTTCAAACACATGATCAACTTTTTACACACATTGTATATTTTTTTGTATACATGAGAATTTTTTTTCTTTATACACATTTAACATTTTTCAAATGCTTGGTTAACATTTCTATTCAAATATTTTATGTAAAGTTATTTTTGTAATATATTTATTTAGAATATTTGAAGTATAAACGAAAGTAATAAAAATAAAGGAAAAAGAAAATGAATAGCGTGTAAAAGAACAAAAAGAACATGGCCGTGGCATCCCGCGCGCCCAGGCCAACCCATTTAAGGAGGTGCCTGACGCGAGAGCCCGCTACGTCTCACTATAAGTGAGATATGGGGCTGCTCAGACTATAGGCCCTCCCGAGCTTTCTGTAAAGCAAATGTAGACCTTAAATGTGTAGCTTGCGTCATCGAATATTCGTTTCCATGGTGATTTCTCAAGCACATAGAACTTATTCCAAATTCCGTATCTGTTTTTGCTTATGACTTTGCTTGTTCAAAGGCGTAGGTCAAGCCAAAACTTAGGCCATTCAGTAACAACTCGTTAGGGTATTGTTCGTGAAGCTGCAGTGATGTGAAAACCTGAGACTTTGTGACAGTTGATGACATGTTGTGTCACTGTGTACAATATAATTGTCGAGGACGAGTGTGAAGGGGCAAACTGAACCTATGATTTTGAGAAGTCTGTAGAACAAGTCCACATCCCGAACAAGTAAACCTGGGAATGGTTATTAAAAAACTGGGTGAAACGGTTCGGTTCTTACTTTGGGTTTGATTGGTTCAGGTTTTCTTGGGCCGAATCTTTTTTAGTTTGGTTTTGGTTTGGGTATGTGAAGAATCCAATTTGGGTATAGTTGGTTATGGGCTTAAACAGTTTGGTTATTAACGGTTGTAAACTATGGGTCCAACCCGGTTTTAGGGCATTGGTTATGTGCAATAAGCAACGACGCATCGTCAACGAGTATCTTTGATCCGCGTACATGATGCGATGCACTATGTAATTCTATATTATGGGGAATCAACACATGCAAATTGAATGTGTATGCTTGTGCTTTAGCTAAGCAATTGGTTTTAATGCACTTGCCAGTGAGCTTTTCAGTCGTGGGCGTTGTGTTTTTGACACTTGTTGTGTGTTGACCATATCTCAACGATAACTTTGTTCCCAAACTATTGTAGATGCACTAATGTCTTTTCTATGCCATTTGCTTCTTGACATGTCGATTTGTGCAATCATATATACATTGAAGCAAACCCATAGTTACGTATTGGGTTTAAACCCACGGTTATGTATTGGGTTTAAATTAGTTTGGGTGGAAAAAATAGAGGGTTTAGTTTTGGTTGGGCTGAAAATGGCATTAAACGGGTATGGTTCAAGTATGGTTTTGAGAGATACATGTATGGGTATGGTTCAAGTATGGTTTAGGTATGAAACCATTCTCAGATTTACGAACAAGATGTACATCATATTCTGAATTTTCTGAGATGAATCTGAATCTTCGAAATCAACAGGTGCACATGCAACTACTCAACGATGTTGTAGAGTATATATGGACCCACAATGAAACCAATGAGTTTAATGTTTGAATTGTGCAGTTTAAATACATTTTATTTGTGTATTTTCACCACGAACAAATACTATTTACTGTGATATTCATGTGCATGATGGTCACGCATGATTTGAGAGTTTTTATCTGAGGAGTGTGGCAGTCCGGCGGGACATTTAAGGGGCCATTTGACGTTGTCTGCTGTCGCGCCCGAGCACATCCATAGACGCTTATGAGTAGGATTTGCCAAGCCCGACTGTAGACGCTCTAAAAGACTCTACATTTACTTAAAAAGCTGAAGAATATGTGGGTTCTTTACCCTGCTTTAGTCCAACTCAAAAAGATAAAGATCCCAACTCATTTTCTTAAAGCTATTGATTCTAAAACATCCATGGGCTAATGCTGATCATACATATGGGCTGGACCGTTGACTCAATGCAAAAGCCCATTCTTGTAGACCATACATTATGAGACCACAGGCCCTCCCCTGCTTTCTGTAAAGCAAATGTGGACCTTAAATGCGTCACCGAATATTCGTTTCCATGGTGATTTCTCAAGCACACATACACAGAACTTATTCCAAATTCCTAATCTGTTTTTGCTCACGACTTTGGTTGTTCAAAGGCGTACGTCAAGCCAAAACTACGCTAGGCCATTTTCAGCAACAGCTCAGTACTATGCGACAACACTGCTGTGTACTAGTAGTAGTTGGCTAGCTATTGTTGTCGCTAACACACACACACACACGCACGCGCACAATAGTCAATGGAAGCGCTAAATGAAGGTAAGGCATGCTACATCATGCGGCTAGTTGCGTCTATGAAGGGAAACTATCCTCACTCCTCAGAGAAGCAGCTTGCTGGAGAGTGAAAGAAAGAGACTCAGACATCGGCGAAGATATGGTACGTTTTGGAGTCGCGGGCGATGAGCCTGAGCGCGGCGACGGCGGCGGTGATGGAGAGGACGGTGAAGAAGACGATGTTGAGCCAGTGCCATGACTTCTGCAGCGAGGAGAGACGCTGCCTGTTGGCGACGAGGTACATGTGGTTGGCGAGCACGAAGGTGAGCGGGAACGTGCTGAGCGCCCCCGTGAGGCTCATGAAGTCCCCAAGGAAGGGCAGCGCCGCCGCCATGAGCGTGTTGACGGCCAGGTACCCTCCCCTCACCCCGACCCTGAAGATCACGTTGTGCATCGCGAACGGGCCTCCCACCTTGCTCCCGAACCGGGTGTCCAGGTACTCGTACATGGGCGACGCGAAGATCTGCATATATGTGCATCTCTCTTTTTCAGTTCATATATACTTACTTCGCAGTGAACGGATTGACTGAAATTGCATCCTGAGAAACAAAAACAAAAAAAAGTAGAAGAAGACTTACGTGTAGTGCTATGACTGTCTGGAGGAAGGCAGCGAGGTTGGCAACGGCCTTGATCCACACGGGCCCAGTGACGTTGTTGAGCAGGTAGGTGGTGGTCTGGTTGCCGTAGGCCCAGTAGCCGATGACTATAATGGCGTAAAGGGGCACGGAGCCGGCGGTGAACTGGAACCACAGCGCCTTCTCAATGTTCTTCACCACGGGCGCCTGCACGGTGGCCTGGATCTCCGGCAGCATGCCGGTGTTGTAGGCGAACACCAGGCTCGCCGCCGCGCCGATGGTGGTGAACACCCTGCTCGACGGTTCTCCTTGGATGCTGTAGTCCCGAGGCGGCGAGCGGAAGCCGTCCTTGAGCGACAGCACGCAGGCTGCAAAGATGTAGGTGAGGCTGAAGATGGTGGAGAAGCCCAGCCAGATCCTCAGGGCCGACAGGTACGGGATCCCGAACGCGAAGAGCGCGCACACGAACCCGGACACCGCGATGCAGTAGGGCAGCTTCATAGCCCCGTCGGTACTGATCAGCAAATACAGTGCCTGCACGTCCATTTTTTAGATATACAGTCAGTCAGTCAGAGAAACACCAAATTCACAAGTAGGGTGAGTCGGTCGTACCTTGAGTGCTTGCCCTGCTATTATGATGAAGCCTGTGTTGATCATGAAGAGGTTGACGTACTGCATCGCCCAGGTGATCTTGTACATCTTGGGCCCGTAGATGTGGCCGGCGAGGTCCCTGTACCTGATGTGACGCTTGCCGCCCAGGAGGTGGAGGCGGCCCAGCAGCGAGTTGGCGTACATGGACACGGCGGCGGCCAGGAGGAGGCCCACGGAGCCGCCCACCCAGCCCAGCGGGACCATCAGCGAGCCCGAGTAGCCCAGCACGTAGGCGCTGTTCACCCCGGTGGTCAGCACGAACGCCACCTGGTACCATGGATCTGACAAAATTCCATCCAAAGTACACACACATATTACTACTTGACGGATTCCAAAAGAGGTAATAGCACCTCAGGTACCTTAACTTGCACAGGATGTGATGATCTAGTCCCAAACTTGTAAAACTTGACCGAGCCATACCTAACTTGCATCTCATGTGATGTTTTAGTTCCAGGCCAATCACAGCTCGCCAATTGGCTGGACCGGTCAGCGCGCGTATTTTTTCACAAAACCCCCTGCATTTCCGTGAATCAACCCGCACTCACCCCTCACCTGAATTAACTCTGTGGTCCACGGGGGCCAGGGGTGGCGGCTGGAGACGAGCACCTGGCTGCACGCCGGCCTCATCCACCTCGGCGCCAACATGATCAGCCTCATCTTCGTCGGCGTCCGCCTGGAGCAGCAGTTCGGATTCTGTAAGCATCCGACCCGACCGACGACTCCGTCTAGAACGGCGACGAGGTCTTGCTTACAGCGTGCGCACGCTGTGTTGCTTTGTTTTGTCTTGTTTTGACCGGGCTTCGCCGCCCTCGTCGCGTCGTGCAGGGAAGGTCGGCCTGGTCTACCTCTTCTCGGGGCTGGGCGGGAGCGTGCTCTCGGTGCTCTTCATCAGGAATGGCGTCTCCGTCGGCGCCTCCTGCGCGCTCTTCGGCCTCCTCGGGGCCATGCTGTCGGAGCTCATCACCAACTGGACCATCTACACCAACAGGGTACGCGCGCATCCGCCCTCGTCTCTCCTACTACTGTATTTGCTTCGGTCCATGTCGAACACCTTCTGACATTCGAATGTAAACACCGTCTGCAGCTGGCGGCCATGGCGAACCTGATAATCATCGCCGCCATCAACCTGGCGCTGGGGATACTGCCCCACGTCGACAACTTCGCGCACATCGGCGGGTTCCTCACCGGCTTCCTCCTCGGCTTCGTGCTGCTGATCCAGCCCCGGTTCGGATGGCTGGAGCAGCCCTTCGGCGGCAAGACCAAGTCCAAGTACACGGCTTGCCAGATCGTCCTCCTGGTCGTCGCCCTCCTCCTAGCCATTGCAGGGTAAGCGTCGTTGCAAGATACAAACTCTTCATTCAGATTCTACAAAATGAATGCATCCTGTGTGGTAATTAATCTGAAGCCATGCATGTTTGTACGCAGGCTTGCCGTAGGGTTGCTGATGGTGTTCCGCGGGGTGAACGGCAACGACCATTGCAGCTGGTGCCACTACTTACCTGCGTCCCGACATCGCACTGGAAGTGTGACAACTAATAAAAAAATAAGAGGAGCCTAGCTGTGGAGACAAACGTGCTGCCCATCCAGATAATTGCTTCAGTTTGGCTTTTTTTTATATACTTTTGCGCTGTATAGAACTTGCACCTTTTGCATTCCTTTGTTGTCCAAGAGGCGTTGACTAGCAATTCTGCTTGAATATGTTATTAAAGCTCTGTAAATCACTCTGTTTTGTTTGTGGTTAAAGCGTTTGTTTATTCTTTGGTTTTGCATAGCCAGTCGCATTTGCAATGTTCAGAGTAAAATAGGTTATACTTGAAGAACCGAATCGTTGAATGAATTGGTGCGATCAATATGCGCTCGGCTGCTTGCAAAAACATGAAATGGTATCGTTGGCATGCGATTATATGGTTTATATTGTTAGGACTTCGGTCATCTTCTACTCAACTACATAGAATGGTTTATATTGCAAGATCGAACATGGATGCAGTAACCGCAAGTGGGACAAACCATACACACTTTTCACAAAGGGGCAATCATCCTATAACAATACCGGCAGGGGGTTTTGTGAAAAAATGTGCGCGCTGACCGGCCCAGCCAATTGGCGAGCTATGATTGGCCTGGGACTAAAACATCACATGAGATGCAAGTTGGGGTATGGCTTGGTCAAGTTTTATAAGTTTGGGACTAGATCATCACATGTTGTGCAAGTTAGGGTACCTGGGGTGCTATTACCTCATTCCAAAAGGCCGAAAATATTCAGGGGGTGTTTGTTTTCAGGGACTTTTTTGTGTAGGGACTAAAAAAAAGTCCCTCTTAGAGACTTTTTTACCAAACGGGAGGGACTTTTTAGAGACTAAACTAGGCATGTGGGACTAAATGAAGAAGACTCTCAAGGAGAGTCTTTTTAGGACTTTTGGGGACTTCTCCAACAATGCCCCTCATGTACCCATTGGCCCGCCACCCCATGGTGTTGTTTGATTGTTATTTTTCTATATACTAGGGGCAACATAGTCATTTAATAACCTTTAGAAAGGGACTAGAGACTTTTTAGTATCTGAAAACAAACAAGAAGGGACTTTTTAAAGACTAAGGACTTTTTAGTTGGGACTAGAAAAAGTCCTAGGACTACAGAACCAAACACCACATCAGATCCCTTGTGCATCTCCCATGCATGGTACTACTACTACCACCCAACAGCCAACAAATTCGCACGTGCAAGCAAACGGAGGAAAATTTTGTAGTATAACTTGGTGGAACCCAAACAACATGTCTGGAACCTTTTGAGTTACTACAGTTAAAAAAAAGGCATAAACTGAACCCATGTGTGTTAATAATTTGACTATGGCAGCGCACTGCACTGTATGTGTATATATTGTCACTATCCCTTCCTCTAGCTACAACGGATGGTCAAAGGATGCATGGATGGATGGACACTAGCTTCCCTCGAATTAAAGTCTGAAATGGCCGCAAGAACAAACAACGGAGTATAGTCAAGGAGGGAGCGCTCGTCATACACAGATAGATGGATGGACGGATGGATAGATTGATAGATTGTTGTATATAGTTAATGAGGGACTTGTGCGGTTGGAACATAAGAATGATCGATCAAAGAAGACAAGAACAAGAACAAGAACAAGAACAAGAACAAGAACAAGAACAAGAACAAGAGCTTCCTGTTTTGTGTCTAAGAAAAGGAATTGGGAAGGAGAGAGAGGGAGCGTACCAACGCCAATCTGGTGTGAGGTTTCATCGGCGACAGGCAGGTCATCAAACTTGTCCCCGTGCCCGTTCTTGGAGGGGTTGGCGTCCACCACGATCACCTTCTCCGCCGGCGGCATGGCCATCTTCTTCGACCCTCTATCGATGTATACGCTGGAAGGAAGGCAGGCGATCGATGGATGGGTTCGGTCTGGTTTGGTTTGGTTTGGTTTGGGTGATATGTATAGCAGCAGCAGTACTGGTAGAGGGCCGAGAAATGGCCGGGATGAATGAACTGCAATAGAGTCACAGCTAGCAGGAGGGAGGGGGAGGAGGTCTCTTATAGGGGACGGGAGTCATCGACTAGGACTGATTTCCTGGTCAACAATTAATACATTAATGTACTACGTATTTCATGTGCGCCGCGTCGTCCAATTAATTACTCCCATCTTCAATCCTCGCTTGATTTTTTCTAGGGATGATCCTGGCTGGATTTTTGTTTCCATCACGTTTTCCTCCTGCAAAACTGATCAATCATTAACTGTAAAATTAGCACTACATTTATACTAGTAGCGATATCTCGCTTCGTCCTGTAAAATTCACAACATTTATAAATTTGGTATACTGTTGTCTGTAGACACACCCCGCTTGCATCTCTATTTTTCTTTTTCTTTTTTGATTGAGGGTAAGCATCTCTATTTTTCTGCGTGTGCGTGTCATCATTCATTCAATTAGTTACTTTGATCTGCGGTCCCGGCCCTGCTTTGTTTTCCGTCACGTTTTATGTTTTCCACGCGCACACGTATACACGCACGCACGTATGTACGCAGCCATGTGGCTGGGTGGAGGGGAGTTGCAAAATTCACGGCCCCTTTTTGTCCCATAATTAGTCACAATCACATGAAAGAAGGGAAAGAGATGCGCACTTGGAGTGCACACAGCGGCGTGTTATGCAAAAGGGGATCCCATCGGATCAACCCCCAATTGCGACGCCTTGATTCCATTCGTGGGCATGCATACCGCCACCCAACTGCACGCCAAACCAACATGGAAACAAACAAACCAAACTCCATCACCAACTTGCCATCGACTCAAGCCGGACCACCCTTCTCTTTTCTTTTCGGGAAATCAGGCTCTTCTTATCTCCAACCGAGGAGAAAATGGAAAACTGAAGCTCTCGTCTTATCTCCAAGAGCTGGGAGAAAATAGAAAGGATAAAATGTCTCCGTGTGAACATGGTTCAACTGCTCGTCAACATCATCCCATTCTATCATATATATTCCGATATGCTAATGTGTATGTCTATGTGTATTTGTTGTGTGCTACTCCTTTACACGATAGGCTTGGGCTAGCACAAATTGCCTTGTGCCTCTTAGCGTAATTAGGTCGACGCATCCAGCCATACACCCCCGTCGCGTCACGCTACATAATTACGCTTTTTATCACCATCGATGACACTGTGCTTGTACGTATATGTAGTGCGCGCAGGCCTATAGCTAGAACCCGTGCGGTATGTGTCAAATCATTCAAACCTTTAGAGTCTTCAACAAACGCACAAAAACTGCTCCGAACGCTAAAATTCATGTTTTTGGATGTCGGACAGCTATAGAAAAACTGTGAAATAGTGCACGCGCAAAAAAAGATTGGATACGCGCTAAAAACCGCCATCAGAAGCTGCAAAATTGGGACGCTGGATTGCGCGCGCTTCACAACTTGCATTGTGTGTTTCTTTCGGCGCGTGTTTTTAAGCATCTGCTAAACCAATGTTGAGTTTGGCGCACTAAAAGGCTATAGTGGCGCGCTAAAACTATTTTAACGCGCATAACTTTTATGCGTCTGTTGAAAATCTCTTAGACTAGTGCCATGCATATGACATTAGTCTAAATTACTACATTTATAATGCAAAGTAACATCATACTAGTATCATGAATGACTTCATTTATTAACTTGTAGACTCATCTTGTCTCGGGAAGCGCTATGTTACAGTATTATGTTATCACCTCTCATTAACTACTCGCCACATAAGCAAAAGAAATCTTGAAGCGCGTTATGTTACTACCTAAGTTACTCCCACTATGACTAGCTTTAGACTACCCACAGTGGGAGTAACATAGGTAGTAACATCACACATATCTAGATAAAGTAGATGATGTGGCAAGCAATAAATAAATAAAGAGAGGAAAGTAGTAATATAGCTAGTTACTAGTAGTATGAGTAACATCACACATATCAAGGTAAGATGTGTCTAGAGCCTAATAAATGAAGTGTTGCATGTTAACATATATATGTTACTCCTCATTATAGAGGTAGTAACGTAGACCAGTAACATGGGCATGTTACTAGTCTATGTTACTACCCATTGTGGCTAGTCTTAGGGCACCACAAAACCGACACGCATCGAACCAGGGACTAGTCGGTGGACACGGAAGCGGAAGTTTGTCACCTAAACTATCCGTATACATCTGGCCTCAGTTTTTTAAAGTCCACACGCTTTAATAATCATATAGTCTAAAATAGTTTAAAGGTTCAAATGCACCAATAGTTTGAACTTCAAAAAGTTCAAATACTACACTTCAATATTGTTGTTCTCTTTAACCGCCCACAGATGCTTAAACAGATTTCCCTTCAATTGCTCGTGAGTTACTTGATGCCGAATTTGTTGATGCGTTTGAACCAACTCTTCAAATGCGACTGGATTCTGGTCTGAAATTTTGATAGGATCACCCATGTTCTCAAATGCAAGAGTTGCGGCAGCATCCCCACCCTCATCTTCCATGATCATGTTGTGCATAATCACACAATAGGTCATCACGTCCCACAAGGTCTCTGAATCCCATTGTTTAGTAGGTCCACAAATAACTACAAAACGTACCTGCAGAACTCCAAATGCCCTCTCAACATCCTTTCTAATTGCTTTTTGTTTTTTAGGCAAAGTAAGACTTTTTCTGGCCAATTAGATTAGAGATGGTGTTGACAAAGGTAGCCCACGGAGGATAGATAGCATCAAACCAGATAGTAACCCATGTTGTACTTATACCCATTGGCAATATAGTGGCAAGGAGGAACTTTTATTTTGGCCAGCCTAGCAAACAATGATGATAGTTGCTGCACATTGATGTCATTGTGTGACCCGGGCATGCCAAAGAAAGCGGGCCAACTCCAGAGATCATGTGATGCAACTGCTTCGAGAATGATGGTAGGCTTCTTAACAAGACCTTGATATTGCCCTTTAAAACTTTTGGGCAGTTCTTCAATTTTTCCAATGCATGCAGTCAAGAGATCCGAGCAAATCTAGCCACCCTCTTGCTTCCAAGATTGCCCAGATCCTCCTGGTGTCTGCCATAGTCGGTTCTCTCGGGTACCGAGGTCCAAACACCTCGACTACTACACTTGTAAACCTAACAATGGCATCTCCGCATTTGCTCCCAGACATTCGTAGGTACTTGTCCCACGAATCAATTCACCGTGCCATATGCAAGTATCCTCAATGCAGCCGTGCACATATGGTAACCAAAGAACCCAATCCTTCCCACATAGTCCTTCTTCAAAATGAAGTAGTCATCAAAGGGACGGATGCCATTGTAGAGACAATCGAAGATATTTTCGCGCATCTGAAAGGGCCGACGAAAAATTGTCAGTGAAGAAGGCATCGGGGCAAAGTAGTTGTCCATCAGCGTCAAATGGTTGTGCGCCCTGTTGTGGTTGAGCACTCGATGACCCTTGATTGATCCCTTAAAATCAAGAACATGCTCCTCTGCATGCTCCGCGTCTGCAAGGACCGTCTGCATCATCGCCGTCTCATCGATGTAGTCCTCCTCGTCGGACGACTCAACATAGTGCTCGTATATGTACTCCAAATCCGAATCCATTTCTTCAAAGAAGGGACAAAAAGATTACCACGGACATTTCACTGAACAATTGCCGGGCACGGTGAGTACCCTAGGAGCAGATGGTACCTGCGCGGCGGTTGGAGTTGAGATGTGGAACGGAGGCGAAGGAGAAGCTGTGTGCCGCCCGGGTGTACCGTTGGAGGTGACGGACTTGTCGAGCTCTATGAGGAGTGTGGGGAGGGGGTGTGGGTGGTGGAGCAGCAGTGAGGGCAAGAGAGGGAAATGGAAGGAGAGATGGGAGGATGGAGGCTTGCGGTCCGAGAGTGATTTTGGGTGTGCCGGAGGTGCGATTGCTAGATGGCTGTTGTCCGGACTTTCGCAGAGCCCCCTTCCCCCTAATTTTTATCTCGGGCTTACGAGAAAAATATGTCTCAACCGCTCAGTGGGCCGATATAGCCCGCGTTGGATGGGTAAACACGTTCAGACCGTACAGTCCAAACGATCGCGGGCGGGCGGTTTGTGAGTCTGCTTTGAAGATGTCTTTACCGTGAATTATTATTCAGAATTGTGTGCAAATACCGTGGTGCTATACAATACAACACTAACGTCCTGCCACTATGGCAGCGTGGCGCCATCTTCCTCATCGTATACTGGACAAGCCCGGTACTTGTGATGTCTTGGCTTCCCCCAAGGAGAATGGGCATGCTGAGGATCCCCTACCCCCAAGGAGTGTGGGGCGGGCGAGCAGGCCACTTGTGAATTGTGATCGAGGATCAGATGAGCTATCCTAGGGACCAGTATACTACTATTCACTTGTCCGTCCTCTGGTGACGTAGTAGTAGCACCGGTCGAATTCAGGACCAGCTCTCGCTCTCTTCTTTTCCTCTCGGTCCCGCCCTTCTTGGAAACTACTGTAAAAGTCGTACTGTTTGCGCATGCTCTAGCTGATTATCGACATGCATCTATTCTATATAAACCAATTATCAATTGGATATAGAAATCGTTTCATGCGGCTGTACGTGAAGGAGATATTCCATTTCGTCTCCAAAAAAGTCGTAGAAAAAAGGTTGGAGTGCATCTCAAAGGACTTTTTTTATACGTACAGTGTGTGGACTTGTGTACACGCTAGTCTATCTAATCATCCACTTCAGTGGGAATCTAAAGCGCGCGCTTTCCATCCAAGAATTCAAAAAGGAGCCCCCGGAAGGAAGAAGAAAGAAAGAAAGACGGATGGGACTAGCGTGCTAACAAAACGGGCCGACTGATCCAGCCCAACTGCAATTGATTATGCCCATTTTCATTCGTTTCTGGTGGGAGTAGTAGGCAGGCGTACCTGTACTCGCTTTTTGAAAATCATCCCGCATCCGTTGCCACGCGTCATGGGTCTAATTTGTATATTTGTTCCGATTCGAAAAAAAGGAGGGTCCAATCTGCTTTTGTAGACTAATAACCACTGCTACAAGATATTAAAGTGGACTCTACTCTCTCGAAGAAGGTTTCTAGGTTCAGTTGCTGTCTCTTGTGCTTGGACCAAAGATGCATGACACAAATCATTTTTGTCGGCAAAAAAAAAAAAAATTGTGCCAAAGACAACTAGTGGCGGAGCCATTAAAATTGTATCATGGGGTCGAATGCTGTTAAAACAGATGGGGGAAGAACCAAATCACTGGGAAATACTCCTAGTAGGATTTTAATAGGGACACAAATAATCACCAATTTAGCAGGCTCGTTTTGATAGCTGAGAAGTTATACATGCAAACGTTTTCTCCTCCCCCAAAAGAGACTACGACGCACCCCTATAGGGTTTCCCCGCCTTCTGCCGGTGCCATCAATGATCTGCCTTGTCTTTGGTGGGTTTTTTTTTGGAAACTCGGCAAAAGATTTGCCATTTTCATTGAATAAGGAAGAAGGTTTAGAGTTTGTGGCCAACGGCCGAATTACAAAGCATCACTCTCGCGGCATTGAATTACACAGATGCTTCGCTCCGGCGAGACACCACAGATTACACTCTTCTTTGATCCTAGCAACAATAACACCAACCGGCACCGCCAAGTTGCGGAAGAGCCTTGCGTTCCGTTCCTTCCAAATTTCCCATGAAACGAGTAGCATGAGGGAGATGAGCGGCTTTCTAGACTGCGTCTTCCTGGTCGCGTTGAGACTCCACCAGTCTTTAACTGAATTCATGTGACCCCACTCCACGAGGTTCACGTCATGAAGGCCAAGCCAAACCTTGATCTAAGCCCAAACTCTAGTTGTGTATCTACATTGGAAGAGAAGGTGTGCCGCTGATTCTTGGACTTGTTTACAAAGAGGGCAAAGGTTGCAATTAGGCCATCCACGTCGTTGTAGCCGGTCTGCCGTCCAAACCCTGTTGTTGATGACAAGCCAAGCGAAAAACTTGCATTTTGGAGGAGCCCAATTCTTCCAGACCGTTTGCACAAGCTCCGTGTCAACTAAGCCCCGGAACTGGACCTCATATGCCGATGCAGCGGAGTATTGACCATCATTCGTTAGCTTCCAGGAGATGGTATCCATCCTCTCCGGGTTGAGATGAACGGGGGAGAGCTTTCTCCATAGATTGACGAACTCAGTTAGATGATGAACGGAGATGCCCGCGCTGATGTTAATTTGGGAGACCCAAAAATTATTCTGTATCGCCTTTTGGACCGAGCAGTTCTTTCTTCTGGACAGCAAGAATATGCGGAGAGTAATATCTTTGGGCCTCAGCCCCCCCAATCCAGGCAGACTCCCAGAACGAAGCACGAAGGCCATCACCAATCTCCACTTTGGTAGCAGCCGCAAAGATGTCGCGGTCAACACTGTCACATGGGTTCCCCAGCCCCACCCAAGGCTTCATCGGATCCATCCATTCAAACCACAACCATCGAATACGGAGGGCAGTGGCAAACTTTTTCAGATTTAAGATACCAAGGCCTCCCTGGAGCTTGGATCTGCACACTTGATCCCAGTTAATCTTGCATTTGCCTCCAGTGACCTTGTCGCACCCCGCCCAAAGGTAAGCCCGCCTTAGAGCATCAATCTTGTTCAAAACTTCGACCGGAAGATTCAACACCGTCATGTAGTAAATGGCAATGGCAGTAAGGACAGATTTAACCAACACAGCCCTTCCAGGTGAAGCAACATGTTTTCCCATCCTAGGGGCAAGTTGGGCAGCAATCTTATCCTCAAGTGGTTGGAAGTGGATCCGCTTCAGCCTCTTGACCGACAGAGGGAGACCAAGATATTTCATCGAAAAGGAAGAGCGGTTGGCCGGAAAAGGTTGGAGGATGTCAGTGAGGTCCAAGTTTTCACACCGGATCGGAGCGACAAGGCTTTTGTTGCAGTTTGTGATTAGTCCGGTAACCTCTCCAAAGCGCTTCAAAGTGTCAGCAAAGAACTTGACGTCGTCCTTAATGGGGGCAAGAAACACCGTTGCATCATCTGCGTAGAGGGAGGCCCTAATAGACATGGCTTGTCCACCAACAGGATGTAGCTTTGCATGCTTAGTGGCCTTCCGAAGGATGTGGTGTAACGGATCTATGGCAAGCACAAAGAGGAGAGGGGAGAGAGGGCCCCCTTGCCTCAAACCATGCCCAAGCTTTATTGGGGTACCAGGAACCCCGTTGAGCAGAACACGCGAAGAAGCCGTTGACAAGAGAGTCGAGACCCAGCCTCGGAATCGAGGGCGGAAACCAAGGTGTTGGAGCGGCTCAAGCAGGAAGTCCCATCTTACCGAATCAAACGCTTTTTTATGTCTAGCTTGAAAAGAAGCGCAGGGATTTTCTTGCGGTGGAGACGTCGTGCTAGGTTGCGCACATACATGAAGTTATCATGCATGCACCTTCTTTTAATGAATGCGCTTTGGGCTTGTGAGACTAGGTTGTTCATGTGAGGGGCAAGTCTGTTGGACATCAACTTTGCAATGATCTTAGCAACTGCATGGATAAAACTGATGGGGCGAAAGTCGGTGATGTCCTCGGCACCGTCTTTCTTCGGAATGAGGGCAATATTCGCGGAGTTCAACCAGTGGAAGTGAGAGGCATGGAGGCTCGCAAAGTGGTTGATGGCCATCATGATGTCACCTTTGACAGTGTTCCAACAGGCTTTAAAGAAAGCACCAGTGAACCCATCCGGCCCCGGGGCTTTGTCGCCCGGCATGTCAAACACGGCAGCCTTCACTTCTTCTTCTGAGAAAGGCTCGTCGAGGCCCTGAAGATTGCAACCAGGAGGAGGAAGGATATCCCAATTGATGTCTATGT